GGAAAGCTGTTTGTGGACAAACACTGGCTCCCTTGGCCTGAAAGCCAGATGAGGACTGCAAACCCATAGTCACCTTTGACTGGATTTAACTGTCCAAGGGTCCTTTACCTTTCTTTTTAAAAAAACCTTTTTACCAATGGATAGACACCATAGTAGATCTGGGAATGAATCTAGGGGTAAATCTTAGTCACTTTGGGGGTGTTGGGGTTCTATGAGCAGAAAGCAGTGGGCTTGTGTGTGTCCGGGGTAGAGAGCAGCAGTTTCTGATGGATCAAAAGGCTAAGCCCAGCATAATACATAAAAGTTTTATATTCATGCAAGATGAAGGTGAGGGGCAGGCTTGCCATTTCTTTTCTGACAACTGCCACCAAAGCAAAATAAAGAAACAAATAAGGCAGGTCCTATTTTTTCCAAGTTTCCTGGCAATACAACTTGGTCTGCATTCTTTCTTTACTTGCTCTAGTTCTTTGAGGGCAATTAGGAGGAATATCTTTACTGCAGGGGAATGCTTCTCTTTCAGGCATAGGCTTCATATTTGATGATTACTTTATAACAAACCCTGCACAACTTGACACACACGCTGAACACAACTCACCAGCCTTGTATTGTATAGGCTGTCAGGTACTTGACAACCTCCTTTATCACTTCCAGGAAGGCAGGAAAAACTGAAGGTTTATTGAACCCCTAGTGGGCATCCACACATAGTGTGTGGGCTGCCTTCAGTTCCATGGGTCAAAAGTTGTGCAGGCCTGTTTTATAAATTAACTGCAATTCAGCTAAATTGGTAGTAATAAGCAATGTTCTCATTTTCAAGGAGATTTCTACCTCAAGGCCTGAGATGAATCAGTCACAAGCAGCAAACTCCTTTGAGGAGCACCCAGCCCTTGTGAAGAGTACTAACGAGGCCTAATAAAAGAATGAACAGGTTGTTGAAAGAGAGCATAGCATTATACTGCCTAATAGCATTCAGTCAATGTAGCAGGGACGAACATAATAAAATACCATCTAGCTTAAGACATACTAAATAGGACAAAGATCTAAGCACATTTGTGCTGGGAGAGCCTAGCTCAAAAGTTTTACTAATTAACATCTTTTTAAACAAAGCACAGGGAAGGAGACACTTAGGAATTCACTCCGTATGAAGAAGAAGTCATTGATTTCAACTCACGCACACACCGTTTTGCCTCCTTCCGAAATGTGATTATATGTCATTGGAGCCCCAAATGATGTATGTAAAAGTAATACTTTTCTCTGAGCTTGCTCCCTTTGATTCCTGGTCCTGCAACTTCTTTAGATGTCAAAAAAAATTAAGCAACCCTACTTTGAACCAACAGCTGTGAGAAACAATCTGCACTTTTGCGGTTTGGGGTAATTGTATTAATTGGAGGAGGGGAAAAGTTTCCCATTGTTGTTGCTGCTAATGGGGGAGATGTTAATAGCTGACACTTAGCAGGGACTGTGAAGCAAAAGGAACCCAGCCTCAGTAGTCAGGGGCATGCATTGCATGGACACAGCCCATGAGTCAATCTTGGGTACTCCAAAGGTTAGGAAAGACTAATACAAACTTGTAATAGCTTGACTGATGTGGAGTTAAGAGCTGCTTCTTAGGAGTAGTATAACACATGTGTTTAGACATGTATGCATGATGCAAGTACTGTACTTCTGTAAGAAGCAGCAAAGATGCTGTATATCTCATCATATAAACCTTAATATAGAAAGACTCAAGTGATCTAAGTCTTCCTAGAAGGAAGAAGGCAACTTCTATTTGAAATGAACGTGACTTCTTAAGTGGTGGAAAGTTGCGAGAAAAGGGGTGGTTGTCCATCCATTGTGGCATTCGCTCTCCAAAGGGGCCACCAGACTTGATCTTGGCTATGTTTTGGCTGTGTTTTTAAGAAGCAGGAGAAGACCAGGCTGGTTAGATAGGAATCTTGCTACTTAAGATAGGCTGCTGACGCCTGGTTTTAGTATCTCTGTGCTGTAAATGTGATTATTTACCTTGTCCTGAATTGATTGCATTGCTTTAGATTTGCAAACCAGGGGTGTAGCAGAGGGGCCATAGCCCCAGGTGCAGATTGTTGAGGTGGCACAAAGTAGGTGTCCCCAGCCCGGCCCAGCACTCCTCTCCAGGCTTTGATGGAACCAATGCTCTTGGAGAGGAGCACTGGACCAGGGTATGCTGCAGGTGCTGGCGTAGGGGCACCTGCTTTGCATCCGCCAAGTGCCACGAGCAGACAGGCAGTGCAGCATGTGGTTGCTGCACCCTCCCTCCCTGGATCCGAGCCTTGAAGGGCACTCGGGGAGGGCTTTGTGGAGACACAGCAATTGTGCCCCCTTTGATCCCAGCCTTGCACAGGTGCTCCTTCGCCAACACATAAGAACATAAGAAGAGCCTGCTGCATCAGGCCAGTGGTCCATTTGGTCCAGCATCCTGTTCTCACATTGGGCAAATGTATCGGGAAGCACACAAACAGGTCCTGCAAGCTCCCCTCCTGCGACTTCCAGCAACTGGTATTCAGAAGCCTATTGTCACTCCACTGAAGGACAATGTTTGTGCTGGGTCCAGCAAACATATTCCTGTTGCTCCCTCCACATATTTGCACATGGATGGGAATAAGCAAAGAGATGTCTTGCTACCCTTACACCTTGTTTTCTTCCTTTGCTGCTGTTTGCTTGCTACTTTTTCTCTTCATTTACTCTCACATTTCTTTCGTCTTTCGGACTATCAGCATTTAGATTGCAAGATCCTTGGGACAGAGACCTTTCTTCTTCTTCTTCTTCTTCTTCTTCTTCTTCTTCTTCTTCTTCTTCTTCTTCTTCTGTAAAATATAATATAGTCTCGGGGGGGCATCACATTGAATTTATAGCGTATGTTACATAATTGTAAAATATTAATATGCAATGTAGGCTTTCCACAGGCATATGTTTATTACTATTTTTGCAGAGACTGTATTCAATTTTATTTAACAATAATAAGAGAAAGGACAGCGACCTATCTTGCTTATGTAACACTGTAAAGCAGCACATCGCCTGATGGCACAGTCTGCCTCAACACTATGCCTTTTAAAGCACATTTGAAGCACATTTTTCATCTCAAAGAATTCCGGGCACTTTCGTTTACCCCCTCAAAGAAATACAGTTCCCAGCAACCCTTAACAAACTACAATTCTTTGAGGGGGGGAATGTGTTTTCAAGCAATGGCATCTATAGCGTAAATTAAAACCATAATAGAAAGGTCCCAGCATGAGTTTGGCACATAAATGTCCCTTTTTTATTGTGAGAATTACGCACACGCTAAATTCACTGCTTTTGAACTGGAGCTTAAGTTTAAGGTGTTTTATTTAGACTCTGCCCAATAATACACTTTTATAGAAAAATGCCTAGTTTTGCTGATCCCAGAAACATGGCCATTCAGCCATTGTATTGTGCACTCTGTCATATACTTTGCAGCTGTACTCATTTGTCCTCTCCTGTGCATACCACTCCTTGCTTTGATCAGGTATTCACTTTGAAGATGCATCAGTTTGAAGCTGCATCCAGCATGCCATACAATCTGTGTGGTCTTCCTTTATGAATTGAAAACAATTCTTTAAATGTCATCGCCAGGGCTCGAGGAGTTGCCTGGTTTCACCGACAAGCAAGTCTCATGAGGATTCGCTCCATTCGAGAAAACTTCGTAATTTACAAGTTCCTTTACCCATCTATTCCTGAAAGTATTCTTCCCCCCCCCCAATGCTGTAAAATGCAAAGCTAATTTCCCCATTTTATCATTAACTGAGGAACTGCAAGATCGATGGCTTTCAAACTGACAGAGAAGTGCCAACAGGATTTGAATAGGAAACGCAGGTTGAATTGAAAACTGGGCATCTGGTAAAGAAATCACATGACCTCTTTGCTGCCTGCTAAAACCTCCTTGGACCCATTCTTATTGACACATCAGTTTTGTTATATGAATTGGCACTGAAATCGTAACAGATTGAGAATGTGAGGAACTTTGGTGTCTTTCTCCCCTAAAATAAATTGCTTGGAAATGTTTGCTGATTTGATTTGATTGTTTAAATTTTTTTGAGATACCTCAACTCTTTCATCAGTGTAAAGAGGCTTTTGTCGAATAACGGCTTCAAAAGGGAACAGCTAAAAGATGACACATGCAATATTAGTTTACTAAACCTTTAAACATGTTTTAAGAAGTTATTACATATAGTTATTAGCCATCTATTTATTTTATTTCTATACCACTCTTCATCCAAGGATCACAAGACAATTTATCCTTACCATTGAGGTGATATATTCGATTAGAGACTAAAAGAATAATCAGTATCATCTTTGAAATAAAACCTTATGCTCATCTCTGCAGATATCATTATCCTCATCCTCATCATTATTATTATTATTTTCATCAGGGTTGTGAAGGCACTACAAAGAACCTCAGGAATCCTCACTGTGACTCACCTTGCTGCTGACAAGCCCTTAATCCCCCCAAGGCACAATTTCAGCATAGGATTCGGGATTTCTCCAAATCTAATGCACACCCCTTAGTTAGCTACCATAAATCAGAGGACAGTGTTATGAGCATAGATCATCAAATTTTAGAGTTGGCAGTAGGCCTGAGGATCATCTAAAAAGGTAAAGGGACCCCTGAACATTAGGTCCAGTTGTGGACGACTCTGGGGTTGCGGTGCTCATCTCGCTTTACTGGCCAAGGGAGCCAGCGTTTGTCCACAGACAGCTTCCAGGTCATGTGGCCAGCATGACTAAGCCACTTCTGGCAAACCAGAGCAGCACATGGAAACACTGTTTACCTTCCTGCCGGTACTTCGATGTGCTCTTGAACTGGTAGGTTGGCAGGAGCTGGGACAGAGCAACGGGAGCTCACCCCATCATGGGGATTCGAACTGCCAACCTTCTGATCGGCAAGCTCTAGGCTCTGTGGTTTAGACTACAGCACCACCCACGTCCCTGAGGATCATCTAGTCCAATGCTAATCCATTGCAACCCCTTGCAATGCAGGAATATGCAGAGATTCAAACCTGCAACCTTGGCGTTATCAGCACCACACTCTAACCAACTGAGCTATCCAGGCTGACATCTCTTGTTATCCCTTGCCTGATTGGTTTCATTGACTTAGTGCGAAATGCTATAAAGCCGGGTTTAACGGCTAATAAATAAATAAATACCTTGTCATCTATCCATTGTGGCTTAGCTAAAATCACTTCTCCTATCCTTCTATCCTATTCTTATCCTCAGTAGCAGTTTTTTACAGCAACAGTCTAGTTACCTTTGTGCAGCCGAGGCTATAGGATAGTGGGTAGACATTCCTTAAGTAGTGGCAGCAGACAATAAACTTCTCACTCCCACAGAGTGATGTCATTGATTCTGGGCTGTATTTTTAAAGTGTAGTTAGCTGCCCTGGATTCAATACGAAGAAGGGCAGGATACAATGAGTAACTGGAAACAACTGGAAATACCAGCTGTGCTATGCAAGTGGTCATATTATACACCAGAGTAGCATGGTTGGTAGAGCATGTCAATCAACCTCATGGGTCATGGGTTCAAGCCCCATGTTGGACAGGAGATTCCTGCATTGCAGGGACTTGGACTAGATGACCCTCATGGTCTCTTCCACCTACAATTCTATGCTTCTATACACAAGATGTGAGATCAGGATCATTCCAGCCCACCTTGCCATCCTAGCACACCCTCCGTACTTACCCGTTCTGCCCAATAGTCACATGCTAGATCCACATCTGCGTAAAGGCTGAGATATGAGATGTAGCAATCTTGAAACCAAAAATTGCATATTGCTTCAATGTGTTTCTCTTCTTTTCTCCCTTCATTCATTTTTTTTTTTTTATGGGATTGAAGAGGAGTGGAAAGTCTCCATTCTAAAACTGATCAATCCTCTGCCAGTCAGCTTTAAGTCTTTTTCAGAGGAATGGAGCCGGTGTGTCTTTTCATTTCTTATATTGATCTGACTGCTCTAATGGGACATTGGCATTTTGCTCTGCCATTTCATGGGTTTTGTTTGGTTTCCCATGATAACTTTAGGCTGGTTGGTAAATGACTATTTTTTTCATTTTTATTTTTTGGGTACCCAGTATTGCTGTCTAGACTTCTGTTACAAAGGTCATGATGTTAATAGTCTTACTGTATGTTTGGAGTGAGTGGTTACATTTAAATTCTGTTAATAATGCAACAAGCAGAAAAAGCCACTAAAGAAATGTTAACAGTAGGATAGGGCAGATGAGGGGAGCTGTCTTGGGCCCCATATTTTGAGTGCCCAGTGGTGTGTGACCACATTGTGACGCCATGACGTCACTCAAGCCATGTGCCATCATGTCATGACAGCACATCACATGTGCAAACACTGCTTGCTCTCACCCCTGTCGCTCTCTGCTTCTTTGCTCTCCTGGGGATAGAGAGGCAGGGGGTGGCCTTGGGGGCTGCATGCTCTACCCAGCAATCACGCAGCAAGGCACCCTGGGGCTTGTAGTACAGCTGCTTAGCCAAAGAACCAAGCCCAAAGAGGACCCCAACCTCCAGGGCTTGAGCGCTAGCTCTCTGCCGAAGCCATGTGCTTCTCCTTTGCCTCTAGAGTCAGCTGGGCCTGTGGGTCAAAGGCTACATGGACTTCTAGTGTGTTTGGCCAGCCTGAACTACAGCTCCCAGCATCCATTTCTGTGCTAGAAAAGCACTGTGGGGGCAGATGGGCTGAGCTTCTTAAGGCAATAGTTTGTTGTTGTTGTTGTTGTTGTTGTTGTTGTTGTTGTTTTTGGTTTAACACTGCCAACTTTCTTTTTCCTTTGACAGGTAAAAAGGATTAAAAAAAAGGTAAAGGACCCCTGGATGGTTAAGTCCAGTCTAAGGTGACTTTGGGGTTGCGATGCTCATCTCGCTTTCAGGCCAAGGGAGACGGCATTGTCCACAGACAGCTTTCAGGGTCATGTGGCCAGCATGACTAAAATGCTTCTGGTACAACTGAACACCATGATGGAAACTGGAGCGCACGGAAACGCCATTTACCTTCCCGCCACAGTGGTACCTATTTATCTACTTGCGCTGGTGTGCTTTCGAAGTGCTAGGTTGGCTAGAGCTGGGACAGAGCAACGGGAGCTCACTCCATCACAAGGATTCAAACCACCAACCTTCCAATCAGCAAGCCCAAGAGGCTCAGTGGTTTAGACCACAGTGCCACCCTCTTTGAGAGGTACACAGCTGGTCAGCAGCTGTTGCTTTCAAGGAGATGTGATGACCCTTTCCCCTGTCCTGCAGCTGAGCCTGGAAAGGGGCAGGGTGACATTACACAGGCGATGCATTGGGTCGCTTAGCCAGACACCCACAGTGGAAATTTCGTGGGTGCTAAGCACCCAGGGGCCCCCAGAGATGGCACCTATGGGGCAGGTAGTTCCTGTATTTGTGCCTCTTGGAAATATTCTGTGCCCAGTGCTCTCGAAGTGCTGGGAAAATGCCATTTTTTTTTTGGTTCAGGAGATGAAAAAGCTAGTGGGCACACACACACCCTTTGGGGGTAGCAAAGAGATATTTTTAAACAGTAGCAGTGATGTAGAGATGGCAGTCACCATGGAGGGTTTAACATAAGAACATATGAAGAACCCTGCTGGATCAGAATGAAGCCCTATCTTCTCCAGCAGCATGAGACAAGAAGAAAAGGTCAACCTGGGTGTGGATCAGGCCTGTACAGCTTTCAAATGTGCTTGGGAGATCAAGGTTCATCCTCCTAGTGATGCAGCAATAAAAAAGCTAGCACATTTGCAAGCTGTGCAGGCCTGATCCACACCAAGGTTGACCTGATCTTCTTGTCTCCACTCCCCAATTCTTCTCAGTTTTTTTATGTTCCGTGCTACTAACAATGGCAAGGCAGGGATGGTAGGCAATTCCCCTCCCCACGCCTATTTTATTTCTACATCTGAATTCCAGGGTAATTATAAAATAATTATGGGAACAGAATGAAGAAAATCGATTTCACACAGTCATTAATAGCATTTTTTGGTGTGTTCTCCATAATAAAATAATCTCAGAATATATAGGAAGGCCAATTATATAATTTGAAAAATTTGTGGTTTTCCATTATGGTTCAGACTTCTTCATAGCCACCTGCTAGGCCCCTCTTCCACAAGAATACTGGAGATGAATATATTATATTCAACAGCTGTGTTGGGGGTGTTTGCTCTGTGAATTATTTTCCCTGTAGTTATAATCTGTGAATAATGCAGCTACACAAACTAGAGCTGTTTTGTTTCTTTTTCAACTTGGAAGAAAATGCTGTTTTCATTTTGTTTTGAATTGCTAAAAGTCTTTGGGCATTTGTGCTTGTAACAGGGATAGTCAATCTTGCAGTTTGGAGAATCCTGTACCTTTAATACTTGTGCATGGTAGACACTATCAGAAGGTTCACCTTCTTCAGACTGTGAGATGCTGTTGCATCACCATGTAGTGCATGAAACAGCTTATAGCAAAGCATAATAATGAGGTGGTGTACAACTATTTACAATAAAATAACTTACTAAACAGTAAATAAATAAACATTTCTGCTTGAAATACAGATATGACAGGGAAAAATACTGTGGGGTTTTTTGGGGGGTGGTGGTGGATATTTTGGTGTCATCTCCCAAACAGGATGTCCACGGACCCTGGTTTTGTGAGACGTTCCAGCGTTTCAATACACTTTGATACAAATTTCGACAGGTATGGAGAAACAACACTTCAACAACTTATTGAAGTGGGTCTGTACATGGTTGAATACCATCCAGGGCTTCATCCCTGGTACAAACCTTGCTCAAAAGATAGAGTACCACTAAGACATGATAGAGACAAAGCTTCACCATACAGTAAGCAAAATGATTGTCCACATCAAAACACACAAGGCTGACAAGCTTTCAGTAGAGCAACATGTATGAAATAAGGTTCAACAGTCCTTTGTTTTATTTTCTGCACCTTGCTTAGTACGAGACCACACAATAGCAACATATGCCGTCATGACCACAAATCTTTATTAGTGGGGTAGGTGGGCAGCTGAGGGGGGGGGATATTAAGACATGGATCAGAAACATATTATTTAAAAATAAAAAATAAAGATAAGCCTGAGATTGCTTGGAAAAGGATTGGAGACAAACACAAGCTGAACAATTGCCGCCCAAATCCACAGACACTTTCTAAGTGGCAGAACTTACAAAAGAGGTCTGTATTTTAAGACTTTGCCGTCTATCCATCAAGCATTGTGACTGGAGAGAGAAGAAGAGAAGACGACGACTTTGGATTTGATATCCCGTTTTATCACTACCCGAAGGAGTCTCAAAGCAGCTAACATTCTCCTTTCCCTTTCTCCCCCACAACAAACACTCTGTGAGGTGAGTGAGGCTGAGAGACCTCAGAGAAGTGTGACTAGCCCAAGGTCACCCAGCAGCTGCATGTGGAGGAGCGAAGACGTGAACCCGGTTCCCCAGATTACGAGTCCACCGCTCTTAACCACTACGCCACACTGACTCCCTGTTGAGTGAGAGTTGAGTGGGCTGCCTGAGGTGAAGGACAAGATGGTTCTACGTCTCCATTCCACGTTCAGGTGTCGACTGGCTGTTGAATCTAATGGCAAGGGGGCATCCTCCACCATAACTGAGGCAGCAGGCTAGCTTAAGGGAGTGTAGGGCAAGACATGTGCACCTTGCCGCCGTCCCTTTGAGACTCCTTAAAGGGAGTGAAAGGCGGGATATCAAATCCAAACTCTTCTTCTTCTTCTTCTCCTCACCTCCTGCCTGAGGCACTTGCCTCACTCTGCCTCATGGAAGGGCCAGACTTGTCTTATATGGTGTTTTAATTTTAGAATGCAGCAATTTGGAGACTGCCTGGCCTTGTGAGAGACTGCTTTGAGCTGCTGATCAGCACAACTCATGACAAATTGCCTTGGGACAAACCAATCTGCTCTCTACTAATTTGGAGTTGTTTCAACTGGAAACAGCAAAGGAACAAGTCAACACAAATTGGTTGGGAATTTGGCAGAAGCTGGTACACACCCTGAATTAGTAGTAAACAGCAGTTTTGCATGGATGGGCTAGCATTGGAGTTACG